TGATTTGGAGAAGATTCTAAGATTAATGCACGACTTTTCAATCACTGACCATTTTTCTTTTTGCTCTATAAAACTGAAGACGTATGACAATCCATGTGTTTTCCATCGACGAAATGAAGTCGTATGGTGTTCTCAACGTTTTTCCCATGACACTGTATCATCGACTCTAGTTCAGGAGATAATATGGTGGGTGTTTTACATTGGGAAATCTTTTTTTTTCACTATCTTATATGCGTGAAGAAACCCTATAATCTAGAGTTTTTAATTAATTTTTTTTGTGTAAGTATATTTGGTCGGTTGATCAAGTTACTCATATATATTCACTCATGTTTATTTAAATTATGGGTTTTGAACCCGTTAAGAACACTCTATTTCCTTCCCCTAAAGTCTCCACTCTAAGTAAGATTAGAATTTATTAAAAAAAATTAAAATTTTGAATAATGTTTAATTTAATTTAACAATTAATTTAGAAAAATTAAAAGTCAAGTTGAAAATTTAAACTATATGAGATTTAAAGGAGAAGGAAGCTTTATTTTCTCATGAAAACAACCAAAATTTGCATTTAAAGGTTAAGATTTATGAAGAAGATGGAATGGTCGAAAGTGGGAGATTTTTTTTTAATTAAAATATGTTTCAGTTTTAATATAAATAGATTATTTTTTAAAAAATACATGTCCATATATTTAATTGATAATATTTTAAAATAAATTGTATAAATAAATTTAAAATAAAAATTATCACATAAATAATTCCATTTTTTTACTATGGGCGATAGAAAAAAATAAAAATATAATTTTAGATATAATTTTAAAAAAATAGATAATCAAAATAAAATAAAGACAATAATTGGATTATTAAATATGTAGGTTACCCTAATTATAAAACACTGCTTGTAGGAGTAGCCCTCCCCCCTACTGTTAACTTTGAAATCCCAAGTGGTTCGACTTTGATCTGTTGTTCACTGAAGTCAAAATCATGGTGAAAGCAGTGGTCGGAGAGGAAAGCCAACTCCAGCAGGCCGAGGATCGTCTTTCCCAATCTTCAGTTCCGGCTCAGGTCCAATCCCTTTTCTTTCCAATATCAAATCACATAGATGGATGGATTCTGACGAATTTCACGAAAAAAATCATATTCGCCCGTTCGAATGCAGGTTGGTCTCGTGATAGGGAAACTCAGCTCCGGTCTTGATCGCGGCTTCGTGTACGATCTAATACTCACTCCTCAAAACGATGACGGACAATCCGCTTGTTCGGTTTTGGAGCCAGCCAAGGACAATAGGAAAAAGGGATCGAAACCCAAACCTCAGTCCTCTGATTCTTCTTCTTCTTCTTCTTTGGTAATCGACAAGGATTGGGTCGCTGAACATGCTCGCCAAGTGCGTTTCTTGTTTCTTTGTTTATTTTGAATTAGTGAAATGGATTTGATTCCCCCCCTCCCAAAAATTATGAGAATGTTATTGAATCAAGGTATCACGAATGATGGTGGGCGGAGTCAAAGTAATCGGCATTTATGTGTGGGCTAGTGTGGTCGCATTCAAAAATTCTACCATGGTGCTTTGTCAAGTATTTCTCGGTATCTCTGTTTCATTTTTAGCGAAGTTTGTCAGGTATTTTTCTTTCTCCTTGGCATGTTTTTCGTTTAATAAAATGCAATGGCTTTTGCAGACTGTGAAGGGAATTGCTGAAGCAGTATCCCTTTTGGAGGATGACCTAGATGAAAGATTGCTTATTCACATATGTTATAGCCCAAGGAGGTATTTTAGAAGAACTAGACCTGTAGTCATTATTTTTTATTGCTGTTTCACGTTCCCCAGTTTTTAAAGTTCAGTTTTAATTTTGATCTGAAAATTACACTTTTTTGGTAGATGGACTGTCGAAATTGTACACTGTCATCAAGCAGCTTACGGCTTTGTGACCTCAGAATGGGAAGGGTCTTAACTTCTCTTCAAACTTTTAAGTGCTTCTACAACTTTGATCTCAGGTAACCTGTATTACCTATTATTTTTTATCTTAATCAAATCTGTAATGTCACAGAGCTCTATTATTTGGTTTGAGAATACCGGTTAAATTTGTCCTTGTGTACAAGTGAAGTTCACTCTTCTTTCTTAGCATCTCTTAATTTGCAACTTGGTTTCTCTTTTCACGTTGTTGGTTCTCTACATACTTATGTTGACATTTTCCTACCTACTGTTTTAGAATCAAAATAATGTGTAGTCATTTTTTTATTAACAATGGTATATGTTACCCAGGCTGCCTATATATCAAGAGAAAGCATCATGTTATGTTTCAGGGTGTGTTTTGTTTTCTTATTTATGGTTTTCTGTTTTGTAAGAAGTTGTTAGCTGTTGAGGTGTGGAGGTGTATTGTTCTAATTAATAAAAGTTAGAGGCACTCTTTTCCTCCTTCCAATGTCCTTCATGTTATGTTTGTAACATGTAGGATAAGAAGGAGGTTTTTAATGAGGCATTATTTTATCAAAAAAAAAAACCCTAGACACTTGTTGGTGTTCACCGTAATGGAATTTCAAATTATGTTCAAGAGCTGCGAGGTGCAAAAGCCATGATCGATGGGAACCTTGTGAGAATTACTCTAATCAACCTTTTGAATCTCAGAGCATCTTATTCATTATTAATCTTCTATAATTATGGAATAATATCTATTCCTTTTTAATAAATCCCTCACCTTTCTACTGATAATTGTTCTGATCTTTTTATAATTAGGTTGTTAATGATGAAACTTGCACAACAGATGGTTTGCATGAAGTTGAGTTGCTTCTACCATTCATGAAGGATATGTACATCGGAGGTTCTCTGGAATTTTGAACTCAATTATATTTTCATGTTTGTTATACTGTTAAATCTAACATTTAATAATTTGCTTAAATTTTGTGAAGCATGCAGCCAGAAAGATGTTGTAGGTATTGTCAATCGTACTGGTTCTGTATGTTCCTTTTCATTCTTGAATTCAAAGGAACCAATTTCACAGGCTGTTGCTGATATAAAGGTACCCATTTCTTGGTTTGGATAACAACTTGTTCTTTTTTTTTTTATAATATATATTCTAGAGAAGGGTTGGGATGTAAATTTTCATCCTAAGAAATAAATGGGATTAGATGTTGCATCTTTATGTAAGATAACAATGTGCAAGTTAGATATGTTTCAAATGTTTATCTGACTGGTTGTGATTGGAATAGAAATTTTGGAAAATATATGAAATTATCTGATTTCGTTGAGTTGATGTTGACAAATTCAGTACAAATGTGTGCACCGAGACTCTAACATTCTCTTGCAGATCAAAAGACATGCTAACCCTAAAACTTTGGTCTGAAGAGTCTCTTTCCACCTTATGTCATATATGTTTTAAATTAGAGTTAGCATACCTCTCAGTTGTAAATTGTGCTTATGTATGCATGGTGCTGGCTTTTTCATGTAGCTATTATTTTCTCTTAATTGACATGTCATACTGTATTTGGTGATATGCTTTAAACAAGCATATACTATGTTTTATCTTCCTTTCGTTTTTATTGAGTTGTAGTTTCTCTTCATTTATACGAGTCATGACTAGTCAATTTCTTAAAGACACCTTGTAATTCTTCAGCATAGAAATAAGAACTTGAAATGTTAACATTCAGAAGTTATTTGTATGTTCTCAATCCCAGAAGAATAAACGGCCTTATTCACTTGAGTGACATGTGCTTGGTGTTCTTTTCTTATGCAATTGTTTATGGCTCTGATCAGGATGATATCATCAGGAGTTTGCTAAGCAGGCTGGATATAATTTGTGATAAAGTGGATGAAAATGTATGGCCAAATGACGATGTAATTAAGGAAACAAGAAATGACCCATTGTCTGAAAAGCCGGTTTCCCAACTTGTTTTACACTCCTTGAGGTGTATTAGCATTGTTGATAAGTCTTTATTTTATCAAAAGAACCTAACTCTAATTAGAATACTTATTTACTATCATTCAATTTATTATTTTCTCTTTTATCTTTCAATCAATTTGAGGAGTGATACTTTCTTTTGCTTAGATCTTTGCTGTAGGCTTTCTTATTTACTGTACATTATTATCATCATGGCTTCATGCTAATAAATTTGGAATTTGAATTTATTGTTTAACTATTTTGTGGCTGCATTACTGAATACATAAGCAGAAATTGTACACAAGCGACTAACAAAATAGCATATACTTTTCTGTATTCATTCATAAATCATTATTTTCAATTCCTATATGTGTTTTCTTTCCTTAGTTTCCAAGCAAATTTTCATTATTCTTGTACTATTAACAAGTTGGAATAACGGAAGTTGATGTATTCAGATGAAACTGCAATCTTTCATTACCTCGGAGGGTCTTTGTACCGTGGTTGGCCGGTACGTTTATCAGCGACTATCTTCAACCATCTGAAACATTTAAGGTTCTCCTTTGTTTAATTGTGTCGATGATACTTTTACGTGTTCAATATTTGATAAATGAGTATTCCACCTGTCTTTATACTGTTGTATTTATTTAGTAATCGTTCTAGTTTGATGTTTTCATGCTCTTGTAGGTTTTAAAAGACCATTGTGCTGAGTTGATGTCCATGGAAGCCCCAAATGATGCCTCAAAAATCTTGGAGCTCGAAGAAGAATCCGTTAGAGTGACCGCCAGATCATTTCGGGATGTAGTCCTCCCTTACTGTTCGACGTAGAACTCTTCCCAAGAAAAAAACAGAGATATTACTAGCAAAGGAACTAGCCAGAAAGCCATCGAGTCATCCAATGTCAACTTCATTGCCGCCATCATCATCCTTCTCCTCTCAGTCTTAGTAGGTTCCATTTTTGTCAGAAAATCATAGTGCACTGTGTGAACATTTGGTGGTAATATGAAGTATTTTCAGAATCAAATATCATACGATTTTGTTACTCTGAAACTTGGCTGATGCCTGTTGTGCGTTCATTTTGACAGGGTACAACAGAACATGAATAAGATAATAAACATGAAAACTTGATTAATGAAATGAGTGTAGTAATTATTTTGTAATGAAAAGATACATTTTTTTCAGTCAATTATTTTGTAATACAAACAGACTTCTTTTTTGTCAAATCGCTTTTAAAATTAAAGAGAGAAATGAAGAAATATTAAAGAATACAAATTCGATGAAGAGATTAAAGAATCCTTGGAGAGTTGAGTGGTGAGCATTTTGTCTCGAAAGTGACCCAACCCCAGTTAGTTGGAAACTTCCCCTCTTGAAACATTCAGTTTTGCAACTTCTCTTGGTGAGCAAAGCGGTGAATCCGCCACCCTGAGGCTGCAATATGTTGAAAACAGTAAGCATACAATACGACGCATTTTGGATGCCTCGCTCAACTCTAAATTTGCAAACAAAAATGCTTGATTACCTTTTATCCACAATGACCACCGAACGGAGCTCACAATTGTCGAAGCTATTAAAAAAATAAAACAGATAATTCAATAGCCTTTAAAATACTGTAACGACAATGATATCAACCGAGCAAACACCGGTTGGGTTGAAAGAAAATGAATTAATGTTTAAGGAAGGGTGAGTACCGTTTGCATAAGGCGGATCTAACTGTCGGATGACAGTCATTTCCAAGTACATACAATATATGCTGAAGGATTATGCCATGGCTCACAATCACTATCTCCTGCTCTGGCCTTGTCCACAACCTGTAAATGGGGGTACAATTTATCAACTAATAATAAACATCGCCAAGTTATTTATGATTGTTGTGAAGAAAATTGTTACCATTCCATAAAAAGGACCATCCGTGCAGCCATTTCATCTTCAGACTCTCGGACGTCCGGATTCCACATGCTGTCTTCTTCGCTATCCATCTGATCCATACCATCAAATATCAAAACATATACAAAAACAATACATACTTCAAACACTGATAAATATATTATGGCTAAAGAACTTGCCATTGTAAAATCAATTGAAGGGAAAAGATCTTGACACTCGCTGACCCTCCGCCTCATATCACAAGGTCGCTGGCCCTGCATACAGTGAATTAAAGGAATGCTAAGCATTTTCAAATATAAATTTCCCAATATGGTTTAGGGTAATTATAAATTATATTTAAGCCATACCAGGCGATCTCGACAAAGCTCCACAGCCATAATTGGGGGGCAATTGAGACCACTGGGGATTGCAGAAAACTTGTCATTGTTCCCTCCATCAGCCTGGCTTTCACTACCAAATACCCCCATAGCAGTTTGCATGGTCCTAGTAGTGAATCAGTGATCATTGTACCATCAACCATCGTTAGCTTGGTGTATATAACAAGAATTATGAATCTTTAACAACGGAGTTTGAAAATTCAGTCAGGAAAATCGGGTTGTTCTCTTTTTTTTTTACCTGTACAAAGGGGAAGTGATGACTAAGTCAATCTTCTTAAGAAGCCCACTAGCATGAACATCATTGCGAAGTTTACAAACCTGGAAAAAGGAATGGAAACATTAAACATGATTATACATTTAGATTAGAGTTGATTCAGGTTTTGAGGATCCATAAGAAGCCATTGGTTATTATTATATTACCTGCTGCAATCCCAAAGGGGAGAGTTGTGCATCAAATAGGTGATCAGACAACAGTGCTTTACGGTCCTTGTCTCCTTCTACATTATGCATAGCTTGTCCATGCCTCACCTAAATAATAATAATAATAATAATAATAAAAACCTTATTAATACTAGGGGTCAGCTTAAATGGTTTACATTATCAGCTCTTTGCTAAAATAAAAAATAGAATTAAATAACAGAGCCGCCTTTATAAACAAAACATACCAAGTGAATAATTTTGCAACGCTGCCATGGGTACGGAAACTGAGCAGCTGCAGTATTCATAACTTGATTTGTGCAAATGGAAACTGAATTTAAGCTTGTGATTGGGAAATGCTTAATGGAGCAGAAACAGAATGGGATATCCTATTAATGACTTGCTAGAAACGAGTAATTGTAATGCAAAGTTATATTGTAACACGCTGCAGCCTAAACACTTATATATATATATATATATATATATGAGGGAGAGAGAGCTTTGAGTAATTTTCTAGGTTGGTTCATATTTCTACGTGACGCCTGATTGAATATATAATAATGGTATAATTATGAGGCCATATTCTGCAGTAAAAAGGAAGGAAAAATGATGGAACTTAAGAGGAAGAACGGTGGAGGGACTTTGAAAATTGTCCCTCTGACTTCCCAATGCATGTATATTTCTCAACAACTTTTCAAACATATAATCGTCTATATATATACATAATATTATAATTTCCCTATATTAATCTATATTCAAAGAAATATATAATAAAACCTTTAAAATGCTTAAACATTTCGTAGAAAAATCAATACAGTTTACATGCAAAGAAAAGGCAAGTCTTAGCCTTTCTTACCAGAAAATACCCAGGAAAATGAATAAATCAAAGGAACAGTAATATTGAATGAAAGTTGTTGAAACTTTGAAAACTTGGAAGGAAAGTAATATTGTTCAATTATTATTTTTTTTCTCAAAAAAATACCGTGATCAATAAAAAAATCATACATGTTGAAATTTAAATTAATGAATTTGGCTGAAGTCATTTTTTAAAAATTATTATGTGAAATAATTAGATTAAATATCAATTTATTATTGTTTTGTTAAGGTATTGATTTGAAGATTACAATATGTGTTTGTAGGGACGTACATATAATTTTATATTAAGGGACGAACTTATTATTTTTTAACATACAAACTTACAAAAAAAATTAGAAGAACAAAAATAATTATTTTATATAAAAATATTTAACTCAGTTTATCCATGTATGTTTGGATTTATTACATGAATGCTAAATTAGTGTTATGAGTTTAGGTTGTTTGTACATTGAATATTATGTCAATCCATGCATCGTAGAAACAGGGGTTATTTGGTTTCCTTGTCTTGAAAGAAAACGTGTGCATACGTGTGAAGCAACTATATTTTTCCTTCTTTGATTCATAGCTTTTGATTTTCTTTGAAAACGCGATTGACGGTCTACACGGTGAAAGCCACACAACTTAGGAAACAGTCAAACACTCTCAATGTATCTACCATATCATTGTTTTTTATATGTCACATATCAATTTTCAAAAAATAAAATAAATAAATGTCACATATCATAGTTGCATTATTATTGAATCAACAATTAATTATATAATATATACTTTTTTCTGAGAAATTCTCTCAATTATTTCCTCCCCTCTCCCTATATTTAATATTGTAGTATTTCCCTAAATAGTTAACAATGCATTTAATATGCTGATATGTACTATTGAATTTGAACGACTACCATTACATGGTTTTCCTAAAAGAATCACTAAACCCAATTTCAGGGTAGGTAGGATGTTGTTGAACCCCTAATAAAGTTTTAACTATTATAGTTAATATAATATTTTGTCACTTATAATATTAGTGAACAAAAAATTTCTATTTTTTTAAATTAAATAAATAAATAATCAATGAAATTTGATAAAAAGGTTTGCGGATATATTTAGTAATTTTATTTTTGATTTTCAAATAAAATTATTTTATATAAAAATATATGAAAGTATAAAAAGATACATTCTTGTAATGATATAAATTATCTTTTAAAATAAAAATATTTTAATAATTGTTGAATCATGTTTTATAATATTTTGATATAACAAATTAAGGCAAGATGTTTTTGGATTTGATTGAATTTTTTCAAAGTTCTCAAAAATAATTCAAAGTCCATTAAACTAGAATTTGAGCACAAAACAGATTTTCTGGGTACGTAGTACCGATATTGTTCTTACACTATCGATACTGCATGAACAATACCGATATTGTTTACGTGGTAACTATACAAAGGTAAGAGAAGGATCGATACTCTCTAGGTAGTATCGATACTACCAGTTGTTTTTCAAACGACTCAAATTCCAGAATGCAAAATAGGTTTCGATACCCAAGGGGTACTGATACTACTTTACACAGTAGTATCGATACCATGAAACATAGTATCGATACTAGTCAAGCCCAATGGATTTTAGGGGCTAGTTTATTTAAATATTATAAAGGTAGTACTGATACTCATTAAGAGAGTACCGATACTCCCTGTCATAGGCATTTTTATTTTGCAGAAAATTAATCTCCAACGGCTCTAAAACATCCCCAACAACTAGAAACGGTCACAAACTCATTCTAACATATAAAAACAAGTTGAGGACACTTGAAGAAGGGTTAGAACACCTATCCAAGCAATCAAACATAAGAGAAGAACTTTTCATTCTTATTTTCCTTTCTCTTGTAAATATTAGTGTTTTAGTGAGCTTAATATTGTAAACCCCTACTTTTTAGAGGTTTTCTTGTTTACATTTCTTATCCTTTGTGTAAAGGGGATTGGTTCTAGCTTAGCCTTTGAAAAGCTAGGGAGTTGTAAAGGTTATCTCTTGATCCTGTAAAAAGAAAGAACATATTAGTGAATTTGTTAGAAAATTCTAAGTGAGGAGCTTAGGTAGTGGATGTAGACTTGAAGGAGAAGTCGAACCACTATAAATCCTTGTGCAAATTTTCCTATCATTTCTACTCCTTACTCCCTAAACTTAAAAAGCCAATTCACCCCCTCTTGGCAAATTATTTGGTTGATCATTGAGGTTGAAGAAGCTCTATCCATTTTTGAAGCAACCAAGAAGATGACTTCCACCTCCAGCTCGTTCTACATGGAAGACTCCCAATCGATCGACAAGCCTCCATACTTCAATGGAGCTAATTACCGTCATTGGAAGAAATTAATGAAGCTATTCATCTAATCCAATGATCTTGAGCATGGGATATTATAGAGAATGGCTACTCTTCTCCAAAGAAGAAGACGAAGGAGTGGAGTGACTAAGAACGGAAGAAAACTCAACAAAATGCTAAGGTCATGCGCATTTGTTTTGTGCATTTGGTCCTGATGTCTATGAAAGAGTTTCTTCTTATTCAAATTCCAAGGAGCTTTGGAATAAGCTCGAGGAGATCCATGGAAACAAGAAAGAAGAACCAACAAAGACAGTGTGCTTAATGGCTCTTGAAGAGCCTGAGGTATCTTCTAACTTTAGTGAATCTAATTCATATTCTTTTAATGAGTTACAAGATGCATACGATGAATTATTTTTTGGAGTTTGAGACCGTGAACTCCAAATATAAGAAAACAATTTCAAATTTTAAAGTTTAAAATGATTTTATTTTGAAAGCAAAAATGGATTTTGAAAGTCAAAATGAAATTTTGAAAAAGGATTTAGAGCTTTCAAAAGTAAAAATTGAAAATTTTGAAAAAGAATGCTTTGATTTAAAAGTTAAGCTTGAATGCTTAACAAAAGAAAAGGAAATCATTTTAAATAATCCATTTAATATCATAATGACAAAATGCTCACTTTGTCATTATCATGGTATCAAGGAATATACTTGTCTTTTAAAGAAAGGAAAACTTTTTAAAATTAGACAAGTATGGATTCCTAAAGGAACAAGAGGCATTGAAACTAATGTTCAAGGATCCAAAGCAATTTGGATACCAAAATCCAAATAAATATCTCTTGTAGGTGTGTGGGAGCAATGGTGATGAAAGTAGAGATATTCAAATGCTCTAGCCACACTTGAAAAGAAATGGATAACCTCTAAGCTTAATTTTTTTTTTATTTTGATTAATTGGTTGCCTATTTGTTATATACATGCATGAGTTTTTTATTTTAAATAATTTTATGTTTTCTATCTCATGTATGTTAAAAAGAATTATGATGTACATTTTAAAGTTTTAATGTTTTTTCATAATTTTTAGTTTATCATAATGAATTTTGGTCAAAATAGGTTTTAAATGCTTTGATTTTACAAATTTTAATTTTTGACCTTAATTTAAATGTTTATGCATGTGATTTATTGCAAATGATATCTCTCTAACAATTGATATCAATTTTTCAAATGCATAACATTTTTGGATAACTTTATGCACATGCACTAAAATACAAAAATTGGTATTGTATAAAGTATATTAGACTTGGACATATTGAATTTCATGTGCTACTAACATGTTTGTTCATCTTGTTGAAATTCAATGTCTTTTAAGTGTCATGCTTTTAAAGTCAATTTTTTGTTTGGAATGCTTTTATTGAGGGGGAGCTTTGATTTTTCAAATGATTTTAAAGTTAAAATTACTACTTACTCTTCCTTGTTATTTTTGAACTTTAAAGTTGAATTATTTTTTATATAACAAAAAGGGGGAGAATTGTGAGTTTGAAAAATTCAATTTCTCAATGAAAAAGGAGGAGCATTAACATTTTCCAAAATATGTATCTTTTTCATTAAAGGTTTTATTAAGGGGGAGTTTTGTCAAAAACAATTTTTTAAATGTTTTGTTATATCAAAAAGAGGGAGATTGTTGAACCATGTTTTATAATATTTTGATATAACAAATTAAGGCAAAATGTTTTTGGACTTGATTGAATTTGTTCAAAGTTTTTAAAAATAATTCAAAGTACATTAAACTATAATTTGAGCACAAAACAGATTTTCTGGGTATGTAGTACTGATAGTGTTCTTACAGTAACGATAATGCATGAACAATACTGATGCTATTCACGTGGTACCGATACCAAAGGTAAGAGAAGTATCGATACTCTCTAGGTAGTATCGATACTACCATTTGTTTTTCAAACGACTCAAATTTCATCATGCAAAATAGGTACCGATGCCCAAGGGGGTACAACTACTACTTTACACAGTAGTATCGATACTATGAAGCATAGTATCAATACTGGTCAAGCCCAACGGTCTTTAACGGCTAGTTTATTTAAATTTTACAAAGGTAGTACCGATACTCATTAAAGGAGTATCGATACTCCCTGTCCTGAGCAATTTTATTTTGCATCAAATTAATCTCCAACGGCTAGAAACTACCATAAACTCATTCCAACATATAAAAACAAGTTGAAGACACTTGAAGAAGGGTTAGAACACCTATCCAAGCAATCAAACACAAGAGAAGAACTTTTCATTCTTATTTTCCTTTTTCTTGTAAATATTACACTACAAGAAAATATACCTTTAATGATACACGAACGATGACACACGCTAATTTATGACTTACAAAACATGTGTGTCATAAAAAAATGTCATGTTTTTTCAAATCTGAACGATTTATGACTTACAATGATGTGTGTCATATTTAATAGTCATAATCCAAAAAAATTACAAAAACACAGAGTATAGATGAATTTTGTGTGCCATATTTAGGAGTCGTATTCTAATTCTCCCCCCTTATTTTTCATCATTTCCCGCTTCTTCCCCCTCGTTAACAAAAGTTCACGCCGTGCTTCCCCCATTTTTCTATGTTTTCCCTTTTTTCTCTTTGTTGATTTCTATTTTGTTTGATTTAATGGCAAAAAGAGTTTATGATTTACCTAGAAACTGGTTTCCAAATCTGACTGCCATCCATGAAGTTTTATGAACACCACGCCTCCTCTAAAATAATCTCTCCTATAAAAAATATCTTGGAAATCTCCTCTCTTAAATCTTAGCATTCGATTTTCATGTTGAGAGAGAGAAATGGACGCCCTTGACAACGTCGTAGATCCTTTGAGGAACTTCGCCAAGGACAGCGTCCGCCTCGTCAAGCGTTGCCACAAGCTCGATCGTAAAGGTATCCCCTTTCTTCTTCCCTCCATTTTTCTCTTTTTCTCTTTTTCTATTTGTATCAGTCCATTTTTCTCTTTAAGTGGGAGGCGATATATCTTCAGCCCAAGCAGTTCTACTCGGAGCTTTAGCTCATGGTGTTAACGTCGGTTCAATTACCTTGTCGATGATCTATTATACATGATATTTGCAGCCATTTGTATCTAGTTTGAATCTTTTTGTTGTTTGAGTTTCAGGACCCAACATGGAATACACTAAAATCAACGTTTCTGATGTTGGGTATTTGCCTTTCTGTTATGCTGGGTTTACCTTTCTCCTCTAGTGGCTCTTTTTTGATTCTTCATGTTTCTTTCCTCGTTCTAATTACCGTTGCCCTATTCTTGCTTCTTAATTGGTATTGTTTCTTAATTCTTTGCTAGATTTTTACCCAGTCAAGTCAATATTAAATTTTCTAGCTTTTCATTAATTTTGGAGTTGCATCATGTGTTATTCATGCTTTGATCATTACATGAATGTTATTTTACTCAGATTCAAATTCATGTGCGAGTGTTAGTAGATTCATGAGTATGGTTAACTTTTTTTAAGATTTTTCAGATTCTAGTGTTGATTGTAATGAGAGTGTCAGATTCATGTGTATGGTTAAATTTTTTTTTAAAGATTTTTCATGTATTTGAACTATCCTTAGTAATGGTGTCTCATATTCATGTGTCAGACACGGATGATGAACAACATAGCTCGAAACAAAACCAGAGAACTATGTATGGGTCATTAGACAAACTTTCTATGTTAGATCTGAGAGCATACTTGGAGAAACACGGTATATTTTGCTATATTAACTATGTCAACTTAGAGGAATTTTGAGTGTTCCGTATTAAACATGATGAATATTGTAGCTTACAACTTTTACAATGTTCTCTGCCTCTATGTCATGTAATCTGTTATATTCGATTTCAGTTAGGGTTAGACCTAACATGACATGGTTTAGATAACAAGTTTAAGTAGGGGGCTCAGAATTTAGTTTTAAAGATGTTGATTCTTGAATGCTTGCTTAGTTCTTTTCTCAGTTTTAGAACAATGAAGTGGATGGATGCAGCCTGAAATGAGTGTTTTTTTTCTTATAATGATCTTTATACAAGTGTATAATTACATATGTATGGGGATGATGATTCAGAGCAGCGAAATTGAATCTCTAATCTTTTTTTCTAGTTGGAATCTGTTACTCTGCATACACCCTGAAATTTACTGATTGCATTACTTATGTAGGTTCCTTGAACAGACCAGTTTAGTTTCTATCGAACATCAAATGCAAGAGATGGACTTGATAGCGAAAGATCGTACGAGATAATCAACAATAATCAGTTTAACTGGATGAATTAGTTGCCTTTTTTTCTCTAACATTTGGATAGTATTACAAGTGAAGATGTCATCGAACACAAGGAAAATCACATCGGAGACACTCTGATCATTAGCTCCTCTTCTCTTCCTTCTCCTTATGTTTGCTCTTCACGCACTCAATTAGGGGTATGTATATTCATTTCATTTTTTTCCTCATGCAATTCCCAGATCTTGTCGCACTGGGAAATTTTTACATCTGTTTCGGCAACAACGAACTAACAAGACACAAAAAGTATAAACAATAAAATTTGCAGTTCTATTTCAATATTCTTTGTTAGAAAGTTTTACTTGCCTACCTTTTCTTTCATTTTCTTCTATATTTTTGTGATATTATGCAGGTCGGATCAGATGGCTTGTCTGTTACACTGGGCATTGTTGCTGCTACTGGATTAGGCCTATTGGCTTTTTCAGAGGTATGATTTTTTAGCAATGTTACTTGGTTGTGAGTGTCGGATAGGGATGTGTGTCGGAGACCGGTAGGCTCAACTTTTTCCAAGTTATTCATTTGGATGGTCATTGGAGGAACGTGTCCTTACATGTTCGAAAAATGTGTAGGCCATGAGTACTTTAAGAGAAATGAAGAGTCCGAGTAGTATAGTTTTAAGTCCCTTCTATAGTACTTGGGTATTTTTCATCAAAACAACTCAAATAGTGGTTTTCTCCTATCATCTTCAGGTAGAAACTGTTCTTCAACTTGTGGGCTCAGCTATTATTATTCAGCTTCTGAGCAAGAAGCTCCTATTTGCAGAGGTAAGTCTCCATTTCTATTTGAGTATCTTTCCATGAATTTAATTAAAATCAAGTATTTTGTGCCTTAGTTTTTCATCCTCCTATTTGTAACAGGATCTTTGGTTGGGCAAAGCCCTGACCTAGTGGTTTTCTTATCGCTTGTTGAGAAATGTTAGCAAGATCTTTGTGATAAAATGTTGATGATTCGTGGTATAGCCTTGTACCTGGACAGAACATATGTTAAACAAAACCCAAATATGCGTTCTTTGTGGGACATGGGCCTGCAACTCTTCCGTAAACATCTTTCTCTGGCTCCAGAATTTGAGTACAAAATTGTCACTGGTCTTTTAAGAATGATTGAGAGTGAGCGGTAACTCTAATAAAATTCAAGTCAAAATGTGCAAAAAAATTTCCTATTTTGTTTTTTGTGGGTTTCAAAGTAACAACCTATGCAAAAAAATGCAATGTTGTTTCAATGTTACTATTCCTTTACTTGTTTTACTTATTTTTCTATGATTTTAGTGGTAGAAGGTGGTTACATATCTTCATTTGCGGAAAGAAGTTCCTAGAAAGGTCAATTAGGATGCATAGTCAATTTAACTATAATCCGCTTCGTTCTAGCTCATTTTAATTATCCGTGCTTCCATCATTCTCAAGGAAAAACCTAAAAATTGTTGAGGAACTTACTATTTTATTGCTTTCTTTCTTGTAATTGTCATACATTTAGTTTCCTTCCACATAAATTTTGCCCCTTAGTTTCTTGGATGATGTTAGTAATTAATTCTTATCTTTCAGGTGTTAATTAAATTTGTATCTTGTAATCCACTGTGTCTGTTTTGATCATGCATGTTAGGTGAAGCAGTTGACAGAACACTACTTAACCATCTTTTGAAGATGTTTACTGCTTTGGGCATTTACTCAGAAAGTTTTGAGAAGCCTTTCCTGGAGTGCACATTCGAGTTTTATGCAACTGAAAGAATGAAATACATTCAACAATTGGATGTTACAGATTACTTGAAGCATGTAGAGGTGCCTCTTCATATTTCACTTTCTCAGTTAGTAGTGATTGTTACTATGTATTTTGAATTGTGCATGTTTTATCCTTCTAAAAAGAATGTTAAATTTGTGTAAGTTTATGTAAATGTTTGTGTGTATTGATATAGATGAGGTTACTTGTTTTGTGAATATATTGTATGCAAATGGATTGCTTATATATAATATGATATATATTTAGTATTATGAGGCATTAAATGTGATTTAGTTTGATTATTTGTTAATCTACAATATATATATATATATAATTTACAAAATACAATCACGACACACGAATGTGTGTCATTTTCATTTATGACGGGGGCTTCAATGACACGCAATGTAAGTCATAAATGTGTGTCATAAATTTATGACACACAAATGTGTGTCATCTTCATTTATGACGGGGGCTTCAATGACGCGCAATGTAAGTCATAAATGTGCATCATAAATGCATGTCATAAATACGTGTCATAAATACGCGTCATAAATTTATGACGCACAGTTGCACGTCATCTTAAATTCATGTCGGTGGCTTCAACGACAGGCAAATGTGTGTCATCAGCACCCATAGATGACGCGCATTTCTTGTTTACATTTCTTATCCTTTGTGTAAAGAGGATTGGTTCTAGCTTAGCCTTTGAAAAGCTAGGGAGTTGTAAAGGTTATCTCTTGATCCTGTAAAAAAAAAGAACACATGTAACATCCTAAAACAGGGCTAGTAACTAAAACGTGAATTTTGAAAGTTTTATGTTTAATTTCGAAATAAGTTAAAAGTTTAAGGATTTGAATAGAAAAATTTCAGTGTTATATTAAATGGTAATTATGGAAATTTTGAAGGGTATAATAGTAATTTCATAAGAAAGATTTCTATTTCTCCTTTATATAGGAGATGGCACGTGGAAATGGAGGAAAGAAAATAGAAAAGTCTGGAGACTTTGGTTCAACCTTCTTCTTCTTCTCTTCTCGTAAGCTCCATGGCAAAAGTAAGTTGGTTCCAAGTTGATTAATTCTTTTGTTTTAAAGTTGGTTTTGATTCTTATAGTGATAGAAAAGATTAAAGAAAACTTAAGATGGATTAAAACTCAAAGATTATCAAGTTATGAGAGATTGAAAATAAGAGGTTTTAAAATGAAATCTTGGAAAAAAGTTAGTAATTGAAGTTGGGGGTTAAATTTGACTTGCCAATGGGTTAATTAAGAAGTTAGAGGTGATAGAATTGAATTAAGAACACATGGAAAATTTGATGAAATTCTTTAATTCAAGAATTATGGTGAACTATGAGGGATAGTGAAGTGTTATAATGTTATAAGAAGGTTTACATATGTATAGATAAATTTTATGGTATAAGGAGGGGTTAATAAGTAGAATTTGAGGACAAAGTAAGAATTTTCGGGCTCAAAATGGAATTTCTGGGTTGTGTGCATCGATGCATCTTCAATGTGTATCGATGCACTCTCAAATAAATGAACATCGAATGCAATTAGTGCATCGATGCATAAGGAGTGCATCGATGCACCCCCTTAAAATGAAAACATCGAAGGTGATTTGTGTATCGATGCATGGGTAGTGCATCGATGCACATGTTAAAGAATGCATCAATACACTGTAGAATGTATCGATATACTTCAAGGGAAAATAGAATTATACCTTTCTTTTGGTCTAAGAAATGATAGATTAGAATATATCAATTGGATACTGATATGTATCAATGTATGATTATATAGATATCGAGCACGAACAAGTTCCAGAACGATTATCAAGTTAATATTCGATCGAAAGAGATGAAATCATAAAAGTGGATTGGAACTTAGTGAGGCCAAGGTGAGTGCATATGCATTAGTATATGATGTGTGTGGAAAAGACTCGCGATGAGTCTACTTCCAATATTTGATTACATGATTTTATGAATATTAATATGGGTGATATGATTATTATTTATGCATGAATATAGTCATAGGTGTTATATGTGATTTCATGTGCAACAGGTATAGGTAATGGTATGAGGATAAGGTATCAATTATATGAATTAGATTTAAGTGAATAAATGAAAAGTGAGATAAACTAAGTGGGGTTGACCTAAATGATAACATAAGATATTAAGTGAATGAACATAGATGATATATATGATGAAAGAAGACTAAGATATGAATCATATGATATGAGTTATATAAAAAATATATGTGAGACCATGCAAAGTGATATGGGCCATGTGAAGTATGAATATGAAATCATATGAGAATTTGCATGAACTACGTGAAAAGAAACTACGTGACTACATGTATATGTGAAAAAAGCTATGAGCTTATATGACATGTGATATGAAAGTGTATATGGGGAATGATATAAGTGAAAATGCCCATGATATATGATACGAGAGCGATAGGTATAGTTGGCATGCCAAGAGTTGAGAGTTTACCTATGTTCTACGGAACATATAGACATAATTACCTATGTCTTTCGAGACATATGGACAGTATACCTATGTTCTAATGAACATATGGGCAATTTACCTAGGTTCTTCGGGACCTATGGACAGTTGTCGAGGTTCTTTATAACCTCTGGATAGTTCATTCGGGACAAATTTCATAGCCCCTAGTGGGACCCCATATGAACTGTGGTGACATCATAGTGCACAACCTCAATAGACTCACATATCTACAGTTCTCACAGATGTACATGGGCTAACAAAGAGATAACAATAAATATATATATTACATGTAAAGTATATGTTTTTGTAATATGAATTGCATTATATGATTATATGATGATGTGTGTATTGCTTGGTTAAATGAATCATATGTGGCTTAAAAGAATAGACATACAAGTATATGATTATAAGACATAAATGATAAGAATATGGATAGTGGAATAAGGTTAGTAATGGAAATAGTGTGAGATATGTATATGTGTATATTACATTGTATGTAATGTTAAATTGTTTTAGTATGACATCATGAGATGATGTGTTCCTGCATGTTTAAATAATTAGAGTTCTTTTATAAATGTAATGCCTCACTAAGTCATAGACTTAGCGTGTGATTGTTTCATACGTAGGTTACAGAAGCGAGAAGAGTAAAGAGCAATATGGAGCAAGACATGTCAGTTCTCCTTACCGAAGGTCAGATCAGAAGAAAGGTGAATAATATGTATTTTAATATATAAAGTTTTAGTTGGCATGTATTCAATAATATATTGTATAAGCTCTGAATAGTTCTGTAAATGTTTTGAATAAGTTATATGTTATAAAATTTTTAAATTACTCACT